TTGCAACCAGGTGAATCTGTGGAACAGCATTTAAATAAAATGCAAAGTTTATTTTTGGACTTAGAACAACGTGGGATTAAATTTCCTGAGTCACAGAAGGTTTTATTGGTGTTGAACAGTTTAGATAAAACCTGGGACACAGTTTCTGCAATATTTGAGTGCAAAGAAGAAAAAAGACTTAAATTTTGAGGCTTTAAAGGCATGTTTGCTTAATGAAGAAGAAAAGCACAATTTCAGGAGTAGCCACGAGGAGGAGAAATTCCTGAGGAGGGGGTCCAGACTGCAAGTCTCCGGAGCAGGAACCAGCAGCAGATGGGACCAAGTTGCAACAAAAGAGAGATTTTGCAAGCAGCAAGAAAAGAATTGCTATATTTGTGGAGCGAGCACACATCTGAAAAGGAACTGCTTGCAGAGGAACAATTTGCAGCAAAAGACATGTGTGCATGCAAAGAAAACTAATTTGCAAAAGGAACATTTTGGTGTTGCAAAAGTTTGCAATAGCAACAACAGAGACAAGTGGCTAATAGATAGTGGGGCAAGTCAAACAATTGTTAATGACTCTGAATTATTTTGCAGGTTTGTTCCAGTAGCACAAGAAGCTGTAGCTTTGGCAAATGGCCAGAAAGCAACAGTCATCGGAAGAGGCAATGTAAAAATTCCATATTTGGAATCAAAGTTTACCAATGTGCTTTGTGTACCTGAGATGGAACATAATTTGTTAAGTGTGTCTAATTTAGACAGACAAGGTTTTGAGATCATTTTTGTAAATGGGAAGTGTCTCATCAAAAGGAATGGGAATATTTGTGCAGAAGGCATAAAGGAAGATAATCTATATGTATTGCAGGGACAAAAGGTTCAATGTTCCCATATATTTAAGAATGTTGCAGAGCATGATTCATGCATTCATCTTCTACATAGAAGACTTGGTCATGCACGCTTTAAAGTTTTGCAGCAAATGCAAGAGTTTGCAGAAGGGCTAAATTTGAAGGGATGCAAAACATATTTGGACTGTGCAGTATGCAAAGCATCGAAGTCAAAGGCATTCCCAGTTAGTAAATATAGCACAAGACAAACAAAAAGAGCTCTAGAGCTGGTCCATGCAGATCTGGTGGGACCTATGCAAGCCAGTTTGGG